ACCTTCCTATGTGGAGATACATGTAGCCACACAACTGATTTGAAGCTCACTGGTCAAGCTTTGGCTGACCAGTTAGTTTTAGGGGCTTACCATGATTGCTGTCCCTGATGGACCACAGCCGATCAATCAATTAGTGCCACCTGCTGCCAATATTTATCACTGTGTAGCTACTGTATTATCAAAGCCAGTGTAATCGGGTCAATAACGCATCATCAAGTCATTGCAGGTGGAGTGCACCACATGTGGGAAAATTAATCAAAATTGTGTGTGGCAACCTGGTTCAATGACACGGTCTTAATTGAGTTACTATACATTCTGCACAGCTGGGATCATTGATTGAGCAAGATGGGAACACTATATCATTGCTGCACACGTCACACATTAACACTGGTGGGCCAGTCTACTTTCTGGAAACTTGACCATTTTTATATATAAGCATTTACAATTGCTGACTGCTGTTGGCTGTGATGTTAGAAAAGATGTTTTAACACCCGAGGGATGCATTAATTCGCACCTACAAAGGACTACATAGACGTTTACATATTTGGAGAACTTTCATTTGTTATGAGCATCAGTGGCTGATTTCTGTCACCAATATGTGTGTTTATGGGTGCCACTTGACAAATGCACTATGTAGGATACATGTATATTGACCAAGTACAAAAGAATATAAGGGATCAAAATTTGTTTTGATTTTTTAAGCTCACTGAAACTAAAGCTACAAAATACTACTTGGCAGTACAATGTAGCATTACAGTGCTGTGACTTGTATGAGGGCAAGACCTCATTGTTCTCTGAAGGAATAAATTTCTATTATCGAAACAATCTACCATGGGCGGAAATCTCTCCTCGGATTGTGGGGGGGGACATCGATTTACACTTTTTCTGTGCACAACGTGTTTATCATCTTATTCCATTTATAAAAAGTCAAAAGGGGAAATCCTCGACCCATCAAGTCCTTCAGTATTTTGTTTTGTTTGAAACACAGAGGGGACATTCGACATTGTGTCCTCCCATACCAAATTCATGGGAGGGACATGTCCCCCCGGGATTTCCGCCCATGCAATCTACCATACAGTGCTGTGGCATTATGAATACATAACCTTATTTCTCTGTACGAATAACAAAGTTCCCTAGCCAGAAGTAGTAATTTGTATGGCTACCTGTAGGTCTTTCAGCCTCATACGTGTATGACTATGAAGTATTTTATAGAACTGAGTCCGTTACGAACCTCAGATATGCCAGGGGGTTAGGGCTAACAAATTGCCACAAATGCTTACAAGGAACATTCTAAACCATTTATAAATAAAATGTCAAGAAATGCTGTACATAATTATATGGAAGTTGATTTATATATTGTACATGTTGAATTTAAAAAACAGTCACCCCAAATTTGAAGCTTTGTAAGAGGCGAGTATTATCAGTAAAAGACAACTGAAGATATGTAATATTTTAGGCTTAGGCTGAGCATCGGAACAAGGTACATACATGTGCGTGTACATGTACATGTACCCATGGTATCCACCCGTTGGTATTAGGAAATTACGAGACCGCACACTAGTACTTGTACATGTACCCGCAGTCAACCTTGCAAATTACCTTTAATACAGGGGAAAAAGTATGTAAAGTTTTAAACAGTTGTTCTGCAAACGAAAACGATGAAAACCAGGCTACAAGGTGTTAATAGATTTTAAAATGTCTAAAGGTTTCTGATGAGGCATTCAGGTAATTTGAATGAATTGTTCTTTCTGGTAAATGCACACTTTTTTGACATTGTTTATTTAATTCATTTTAGATTCTTGCATGTAAAAGCCACGTACTGTACATCCACACTGTCTGTGTACAATACTACAATGTGTAACACACTAACAGATTAATTTCAATGATACTCAGACAGAACCTTAATAATATGATTGAGACAAAAGAGATAACACATTCTCATAACACTTCATGAATACTGAACAAAACATTGAAATGCATACATTGTACATGAAGCTTGACCACTACCTGCCGGGGACTCCGAAATCGGAGCCGTATGG